TTTTTTTTTTTTTTTTTTTTTTTTTTTTTTTCTTTTTTCTCATTTTGTGCTTTTTTTTTTTTTTTTCTTTTTTTTTTTGCATTTGTATCCTGTCATGGTGGGTTTTATTTGCATTTGTAACTTGAGGTGTGCTTTATCTGTAATTTGTCGTGTTGGGTTTATAAGGTATTTGCAAACATAAGTGTTGATTGAATGACTGTATTAAACAAAAATATCTCTCATGACCAATGTATTTTTTTTGATGTTATTGTACACTTTTATTCCAAGGAATCCATTATAGTTATTGTATCATATTGAAATGCTATATACCGTTTATTTGATGTGAATATCATGTCTTAGAAAGTGGGTTGACCATTGTCAAATATAAAGCGTTTTAAAGCTTAGGCCCTAACCATATTTAAATTTTGCTGTCCTATTATTTGGAAAATTGTTTAGCATTGTTAAACTAGCTAAATTTTATTTATTATCTTGTACCAGGATGATAGCTTGATGATTATTTTTAAGAATGTTAAATTACAGCCCTAAAACTATATATTCAAGGGAGACAGAGGCCTGTAACATGCAAGCTTTAGAATATTATTATATTCATATTTAACTGAAAGAACTTTTTTTTTTAAATTGACGCAATTAGAAAAAAATGAGAAAAACTAGATGACTTATCCAAATAAATTTACTTCTGAGGCCCTGTATTAAAAAAAAGAAAAGAAATTGAGTTGATTTCTGTCGCTGTGTTGTGAAACCATAAAATTCAGTTATTGTCTTGATTTTTAATAAACGTGGAGAAAGAACATCTCATCTTGTAGCCTCGGGGGCCTATTGAAATGTTAGTTGTTAATTGTTACTACAGTTTTTTTTTCAAGACTTAACTCAATTATTTAGCTTCCACAATTCCAGTTATGTTTTGAACCGGTAATATTTTGTTTAGATGATATTATATTATTTGGAACTATGGTTTAAAATATTCAGTCACAGCAAAGTCCTATTAGTTAGAGAGCCATCGTGACAAAAAATATTTTTGTTTTATTAATTGGATAAACAAATATGAAACTTTTGCATTAGAATTTTAAAAATACGCAGGAAAATATACCATCCGGTGATAGAAAATAATGGATGGTGAACCGTACAAACCAAGAGTATATTGTCGCAACAATTTAAAAAGGCAGACTGCGCTGGACGGGGCACCTTGAGAGTATGCTGTATTGTAGAGCAGCCAAAGTGAACCATAGACAGAAATCTAGGGCTCACCACCAAGACTGAGATGGATTTACAATGTATAAAAGGACTTACATCAGCTTGGGGGGGGCCCACACACAGAGGTGGAAAGCCATGGATCAACCCGAATGGGAGGATGTGGTAGAGCAGGCCAGGATCCTTCTTGCTCGGTAGTGCTACTGATGATGCTGAGTTGTAAGTGTAAGAGTAAAAAAATCTTTTGACATTTTTCAGGTTTACTGAAATTCAGATGTGACTTACGTAAATGTTTTAATTACCAGTATTATCATCAAATGATGTAGTTTAAACAAATAACCAAAGAAATCCCTATTTGCAAAAATAAAATGTTTATTTTTTAACCCCAACTTAAACCCTAACCCTAATTTTTAAAAATTTGGAATACAGCATCCAGTTTGTACTAAGGCTTAAGATAGGCTGACTTTGCTATTTTACACCCACAAAAAAAGAAGATGGGTATGGAGAAAAAAGAAAATATAAATACCGGTGACAATAAAAAAATTATGTAGAAAGTCCCAGCATCCAAAATTTGTTTCTTAAATTTGACTCTTAAGTGACCTTTTGAAATATATTTTAAATTATTATGCAGACTTTTTTGTTGTGGTTGGCAAGGTGACTTTTACTATTGTTGCGCATCAGATTGTCCATGAAATCATAGAATCTCTGAACGAGTATAAAATTTCTGTTTCTAATTTGAATGAAATATTTTGTTCATTATATTTTGATGCATTGTTTTGATTTCAAGTATTTTTTTGCTTATGTATTGCATTGTTAACAGACAGGAAAAGAATAATTCAATTTACCATTTTTGATGATTTAAAAAAAAGAAAAAAAAAAAAATGCTAATTATTAAGCTATTATCCAGTTTATGGTGTGAGATTTAAAATGTTAATTGTTGTGCTTAATCCTGACTTTATAGCTAATGGTGTTTTCTTATTTGCTATTAAGTTTTGGATTAGAGGCCGACCGAAAGTGATTTTCTGATTTTGGCCGAAGCCGAAAATAAGCCGAAAGTTTAAAATGACTTTCGGCCGAAACCGAAAAAATACCGAAAGTTTAAAAATGACTTTCGGCCGAAACCGAAAAAAGGCCCAAAGTAAAAAATCAATTTCAGCCGAAACCGAAAATGAAATATTAAGATATTTTGAAATTCGTTCCCGCATACATTCTACATACATCGAAAATGATGTGGGAAAGTGTAAATATTTACATTCTTTTTATAAAAAATGGGATAATCGTGAATATTCATAAATAAACATCTAATATAGGGGTCTCAAACTTGTGGCCCGCGAGCCATTTGTGACCCGCGAGCCATTTGTGACCCGCAAGACGATATTTTGCGGCCCGCTACATGACAGAAAAGTTCAGTGTTAATGCGCCGGCCCGTTTCCCCCATTCTCATATCTATAACGTGACGCTCCGCGACGGTTTCAGTCAAATCTCACCGACTAGTCTAATTCTAAATTTAAAAAAAAAATGTTTCTATATATTTTTGTATGCAACAGTGAGCAGGCGGATGAAAGTGAATCCTAGTTATTGAGAACCCTTAATGATTTTATTGTTATTTATAAAGTTTGAGCAGATTGTAACAGTTTTAATCGCTTTTTTGTGGATTACTTGATGCGGCCCACTCTCATTCAGAAACTACCTCCTGTCCCCCCCTGATGATTTGAGTTTGGGACCCTTGATCTAATGAATACTTTGGATTTTACCATTTTAATATAAAATTAATTTAAATTGCTTTACAGTTTTTTTAAATTAGTATGGTATGAGAAAATTTGGCAAAAATGGGGTGGGGGGGGGGGGGGGGCAAAATTAATGAAAAATATTTTTTTAAATGAGAAAATTTGGCAAAAATGGGGTGGGGGGGGGGGGGCAAAATTAATGCAAAATATTTTTTTAAACCGGGTCTCTAAAAATTGTTGTTCTGATATGGTTCTAAAAGAGCGCTTAATTTGTTCTGAAAGGTCTCTTTAATTGTTTTTAAAGATGGTTTAGTTTGTTGTTTAAGATCGTTAGTTGCTTGTTATTGATCGCTTAGTTTGTTCGAAAATATCGCTTAGTTGTTGTTAAAGATCGTTTATTTTGTTCTCAAAGATCGCTTAGTTTTTTGTTAAAGATCATCCAGTTTTGTTAATTATCGCTTTATTTTTCTTAAAGATCGTTTAGTTTGTTCATAAAGATCACTTAGTTTGTTGTTAAAGATCGCTTAGTTTGTTATTAAAGAACGCTTAGTTTTTTCATAAAGATCCCTTAGTTTGTTCTTAAAGATAATTGATTTTTTTCCTTAAGATCGATTAGTTTGTTCTTAAAGATCTTTTAGTTTTCTGTTAAAGATCACTAGTTTGTTGTTAAAGATCGCTTAGTTTTGTCATAAAGATCCCTTAGTTTGTTCTTAAAGATAATTGATTTTTTTCCTTAAGATCGATTAGTTTGTTCTTAAATATCTTTTAGTTTGTTCCTAAAGGGCATTTAGTTTTCTGTTAAAGATCGCTTAGTTTATTTTTATAAATCATTTAGTTTACTATTAAAGATCATTTGTTTTGTTCTTCAAGATCATTTAGTTCGGTCTTAAAAATCGTTTAGTTTGTTCTTTAAGATCGTTTAGTTTGTTATTAAAGATCGTTTAGTTTGTTCTTAAATGTCGCTTAGTTTGTTGTTAAATATCGTTTAGTTTGTTCTCAAAGATCGCTTAATTTGTTCTTAAATGTCGCTTAGTTTGTTGTTAAATATCGTTTTCGCTGAGTATTAGATGACCGAAAACCTGAGTCACTTTCGGCCGGCCGGATGGCCGAAAGTCTAAGTCAATTTTGGCCGAAACCGAAGAAAAACCGAAAGTTAACTTTTCATTTTCGGCCGAAACCGAAACTTGGCCGAAAGTGATAAAATGGCCACTTTCGGCACCGAAGCCGAAGCCGAAATTCGGTTGGTCTCTATTTTGGATCAAGACTTTTTAACTGCATTTTTTTTCCCATTATATTTGTTTGGTTTTTTTTATTGTTTATTGTTATCTAGTAATTTTTTTATATTTTTATTAAGTGGTTTTATATTATGATTGAATTTTCTTAGAGACCTCATGTATCTTCAGACTTTGATAAAGTGAGATAAAAATACTGTGTCGTCGTTTTATTTTAATTTTTTTTGTCAAATTTCTATTTGGATTTGGCTGGGAAGTTCAACACTGCAATATTCCATGAGAGATATACAGCACCAATTGTTATAGCCATAAGTAAAACATGATCAACACTTCACTGTAAAGTTATTCTCACCAGTGTTATCACAAGAATAGTCTATGAAATGCAAATTAAAATAAACTCAATAAATTTTTATTGATTTAGAGTCGGGACATAGGCATTTAATAGGTGACTGATTTAAAATGGAAATGCTTTTGTAATATTGGGGCATAGGCATTTAATAGTTGACTGATTTGAAAATAAAATTGAAATACATTTGTAATATCGGGACATAGGCATTTAATAGTTGACTCATTTAAAATGGAAATACATTTGTAATATTGGGGCATAGGCATCTAATAGTTGACTCATTTAAAATTGAAATACATTTGTAATATCGGGACATAGGCATTTAATAGTTGACTCATTTAAAATGGAAATTCATTGTGTTTCTTTAGAAGTCGAGCTTGCATTTTTTTTATTAATGTTTTTTATAAAATATTTATTTTTTTTTTTTTTTTTTTTTTTTTATTTTTTCCCCCCTCCCCCCCCCTTTTTTTTTTTATATTTATATACATGATTTTTGCTCATTGAATTTGCTTTATGTTAATTTATTAGGATTTAGAAATACAGCAAATTTTTATTGTTAAGATTTACAAACAGTGCAATACTGCGCATATCCCTCAAAGCAATTATTCTTATCAATGACAACAATTTTTTTATCAGAGTGAGTGAAACCTCCATTAGTCACAATTTGTCTTTTTTAAAATTTAGAACATGAACACTTGTACTATTCCACTGATAACACTGATAAAATGTTTTTAAATGTATGTTGCATATTATTTCGTTTTGTTTTGAAGTTTCTTTTGCACTTAAATTAAAATATTTTAATCTCTTTATATCTCTATGCCATATGCTGGTTGTAATAATGCTCATTACTGTGTCTTTACTTTGAATACCCCGTGACTTAGGGTAACCCCATCACTCAAAACAAGTTGCTACCCTCATTATAGAATGTTGTACCCAACAGTTCACAACCACATGTTTTTAGCACTCAGCTGAACTTTCACTTGCCAGGTTAGGCATGACTGGGCCTATTTGATTTGTTAATTTTTAAAATTGACTTTGTTGTGTTAGCTTTGGTTGTTTTTTTTTTTATATTTGAGGGCCCACGATCAATTTATTGATCATTTTGGCTCCTGGTTTGAATTCAGAGTTAGCCTTCTCTTAGATGAGTTGCCTTCCAGGGTGCTTGGGAGGTTGGCTTTGGCTGGGATTGAACTCCAGACTACCATTATTTGGAGTGAGTAAGTTTAGACCACTCGAGCACCCAGCACCCATTTCATTTATTTGACAGAACGCACGTACCGGTAGTTACAAAAATAACCATTTGGTTACATTTTTTTGGTAACTGGTAGTTTTAATATTACCAGGGACGGTGGCATTATGAACTTTAAAACAGTTTCAGAGTAAACATTCCATTTCTTTGTCGACCTTTTAAAATCTGCTAGCCACAAAATCATAGTTTCTTGTCCATTTTAATTAGAAGTATGTGTGTCGCTTAAAGTCATTTGTCATTAGAAGTGTATCCTAGTTATTTGCTGTGATTTTATTCTACTCTATAAATTATATTTTTTTAGAAGTTTTTTACATGTTTTATGGGATATTACTGGTAAATCATAAAAATTGATTTTAAAAAATTGATTTTCTTTGATTACTCCGATTAAAAAAAGTTTTTGTTTTTCTAAATAATACTTTCCCATCTCAGAAATTCATCCTAGTGGAAACAACTCATGCAACTTTTTCATTTTTAATTAACTATTTATTAATCTTGTCCTCCTAGTTCCCTGGATTGAATTTTTTTATGATTTTGAATTTAAAATGTTAATTATTTTTGTTTCTCTGCCTTTGCTCTTATCACAAATAAAAAAATTAACACTTTTCTTTTGATTTGTAAATATTTGCTTTTCTAAGATATAGATGTTGTTTTAGAAGTCGCATTTTCTAAAATGCAGATGTTGCTTTAAGTAGTTGGGTTTTCTAAGATAAAGATGTTGTTTTATTAGTCGTATTTTGTAAAATGAAGATTTGATTTTAGGAGTCATATTTTTTTAAATTAAAGATCTTGGTTTTAGTAGTGAAATTTTCTTTTGTAAAAGCTAATCCCTGAAACAGTTGGTGTTCATTGCACACACGTAGAGGTTTCAAGATGATACGTTGGTACCAGTACTCTAAAGATTCAAGATGATACGTTGGTACCGGTACTCTAAAGTTTCAAGTGTTTCAATGTAGTCACACCTTTCAGTGAGCGTGTATCCCCAATCCCATCGATGGTGACAATGTCTTTGTCATGATTAATCGTTCCCATAGTGGTGCTCCACAGAACAGCACCATCTAATTTTCACCAGCGCCCCGCCCCCTATTGTCATCGCTGCGCTCCACCAATTCAGTCGAGCTTTTCGCTGGCAATGACCTCCTACTTTGAGAATCCATGATTTAACAAAAGAGTTTTTTGCAGTTTGACTATTTCTTTGAAGACACACTTTTCAGGATTCTTACCAAGATCAAGAGATGAATGTACAGACACACCATGTGGTATCCATAACTTAAAACATGAATACATATAGTCTGAGTGTGTCCGCATCCAAGCATGGTGGGGAAGAGGCTGACTATCCCTGTATGGTTGAATATATATTTAAGAGGACAAAATAAATCTGTGACTATGGCAGTCAATTTAGATTTCAAAGGTGAGGTAAATAGTAAACAGTAAACAATATATAATTCTTACATGACTTAACTTAGACTTGAAAATGATGAAAGGGGAGGGCTGTGGTCAGGTAAAACACAGGTAAAAATGAAATATGTAACACAAGGTAGGAACAAACCTGTAAACACAAAGTAGAGGAACACTTTTAAACACGAGGTAGGGAAACATCTGTAAACACAAGGTAGGGGAACACCTGTAACCCCGCGGTAAGGGAACACCTGTAAACACAAGGCGGGGAACACCTGTAAACACAAGGCAGGGAAACACATGTAAACACAATGCAGGGAAACACCTGTAACCACAAGGTAGGGGAACACCTGTAAATACAAGGCAGGGGAACACCTGTAAACACAATGCAGGGGAACACCTGTAAACACACGGTAGGGTAACACCTGTAAACCCAAGGTAGGGAAACACCTGTAAACCCAAGGTGGAGGAACACATGTAAACACAAAGTAGGGAAACACCTGTAAACACAAGGTTGATGAACACCTGTAAACACAGGGTAGGGAAACACATGTAAACACTAGGTAGGAAAACACGTGTAAAGACAAGGTAGGGAAACACATCTACACATAATGCAGAGGAACACCTGTAAACACAAGGTAGATTAACACCTGTAAACACAAGGTATGGAAACACATGTAAACACAATGCAGGGGAACACCTGTAAACACAAGGTAGGGAACACCTTACACACAAGGTAGGGAAACACCTGCAAAAACAAGGTAGAGGAACACCAGTGAACACAAGGTAGGGGACCACCTGTAAACACAATTTAGGTTAACACCTGTAACCACACGGTAAGGGACCACCTGTAAACACACGGTAGGGGACCATCTGTAACCACACGGTAAGGGACCACCGGCATACACACTATACTATATAGTACAACAAAATACCGAGCATCATTTTCATTATAATACAATCATCAGTAAAAGATGGTCAATAATATACTAAGTTGGAAATCTGTTAGAAAGATAAGACGCACTAGTGGTATATCAGTTAGCATATCATTAAAAAGATATATTTTTTTAAAATTACCTTCCTCATAGTACACAAATTTAAGTCAGTGTATGGGGTGGTGGGAAGGGCTGATGTTACACTGACAGTTAATACTTCGTCGCATGAAACCACAGAGCTATAATATATCACTATGTCTATGTATGAAACCAACTGTAAGCTGACGTCTCTGAGTCTGACTTTAGTGTCTATTTATTTTATTTTACTTAAATGTATAAACATCGGTTTTGGCCGAAGAGTGGGAAAAAGTGAAAAATCTGGCCACACATCCGTTGAATAGAAAACAAACCTTGATCGATTGATACATTAAAAATCCCTTTCAATGTATCACAAACTAACTGGAAAACAATACATACTTGGGTTTATGTTTGCGGTAAAAGCCTTTGCGGTAAAAGTGTTAAAGCACTAAACTAAGGCATTACCGGTACCGATTTTTTTTTTGCACTAAAACTAATTTATTAACTCTCTGCAGTCCGACTATAGAGAAATGGTACTTATATGTACCATAGATTTTGTGGGTGGGTTATTTATTTTTTAACTTTTTTTTTAATTGAAAAAAATTATTTATTATATTTTAATAATTTGTTTCATTGGTTTAAGTATTTGTAAAAAAATTAAAATTATTACAAAATTTGAAATTACTATTTAAAAAAAATATTTTTGGAAACTTATTCAGCGCGGAGTATCCCTTGAAAGCTTCGCAGATTTCCAAAAAAACAAAAAATATAAGTCTCACAAAAAAAATTAAATAGTAGTATGAATATTGTCAAATGATTTTAATTTCCCGATTTATCAAGGAGTTATTTGTTTGTCTAAAGCAATGTATCCAAATGGAGACTCTAATCATGAAATTTATCACGATTTGCATATAAAAGTACCGACTAATGCTATCGTAAACAAGTAAGCTTAATTTTAATTATCATTTCCCGACTTTAAAATTAATAATAAAACAATAAAGTGATATTTTTATAATTTTAATTGGCTGAAGTATATATTATCCATTTATACTTACATTGATATATTCTATTTGAATTATATTGAGTTTCAATAATTATATAATAAATAAATAGCGTCGCTATGCGAAATAAATATTTTAAAAAAATAGCGGAAAATTTCGGTCGATTGGAACTTGCGTAATTAAATAAATTTAAAGTTAAGGACTTCTGAGTTATTAACTAAATATATTTCTTTAAAATATGTTACAGCCAAGAATAATCTTCTAAATTTTCTAATATTGCATAGTAGAAATGTGTTTAAATTTAATTATCATTATCGCTAGTCACTAGTATTAGTAGAGACTACTGTCGGCAGAATAAAAAAAAAAACATTTATGTTTTTATTAAAAGCTCTCTAACTCTATTGGGAAGGAGGAGAGAGAGACAAAAATGCAGATATTGGATCAAGAAGCCCTTATTCCTTATTGATCCTAAATATTAAGCCTGGACTCCACCCTTTTACTGAGTTACAGAGTTACTGGATGAATATCTTTGAAGATTTTACCCTAAAAACAAGTGGTGGTAAGTTTTAATCTAATCACTTGGTAGCAAAATGCATAAAGAATAAACTCACAATATTGTTATAACATATGTTATAATGTATTTTCTATGTACAATGGTTTACTTTTATACTAATTTAGGCACTTGGACTAGGATTAATGGTATTTTCCCTTACTGATAGCATACCATTACTGATACCATTAGTGTTAATTTATTTATGAATCAATCAAAATTTTTTTTTCCACAGGTTCTTTATTGAGTGAATATTCTGTGGTGAAAAATCTTACCTAATCTTATGTAGAAATCAAGTCCAGGACAAGCTCTTATTTATCAAATATAATTATTATAATAAAACTGCAGACTGTTTTAAGAAATAATATTTGTTCAGAGTCCATAAATATAATTAAGGAATAATGTAGTTTATCAGCCTGTGTTATGTGAGGATTATAACAAAGATATATAAAAATGCCGGTACACGGGAAAAAATAGATCACATTAGTGAGGAATGGATTGTATTTGACATTAATATCAAAATTAGCATTATTGTACTGATACATTTTAATTTTTTTTAACTTTAACATCAGCGAATACCGCTATTTTAAAATTAAAAAAAAAAAAATTGACTCTTGTTTTGAGTTATTTATATATTCATCAAATTTTACTTAGTCATCTTTTACTCAAGAATTATTAAGAAATATATTTAATATACAAATCTATAAGCTATGAGACCCATTTTTTAAAATATATTACATACAAAACATAATTTTCATTAAAAGAAAAATTATAGTGCATTTTTTAGGAAAAAAAGACAAAATATAGGTTTTGCTAAAATGTTGACAACTTTTTGATTGTTCAAAGAATTTTTGTCATGTTTGACTATGAATTGTATAAGTTGATGAAGTATTTTATTTAAATAAATTTTATATCTTTTATAACAAGGATTTTTTTTTTCCTTCATACTGTGTAAAGATTTTGTCAAATTTTTGCATAAAATGAAAAAAAATAATTCTCCAATAATGTTTCAACTATTTTTATAACTAAGAAAATAAAATATACAAAAAATATCTAATGATAGCTGAGTCAAAGATGAACAAGTTAATATATTTAACTGATCAGATCAGAGCTATTTCAGATCAGTTAATTAATTATTTTAAAAAATCACATTAGGATTTTTAAGAAATGTGAAAAAAACGTCAGACTGCAGAGAGTTAAGCTAAAATGAGGGAATATCATTTAAAATTTATTATTAAAATTAATCATGGCCATTTAGTGAAAAATCATGTAATTTAGTAGGCAAGGGTGACCAAAAAATTCAAATTGTATTTTTAAATATTACTGTAAATTTTAAAAAATGAAACCAGGGCTAATGTGAAGAGATAGCACCCTGGTTCCGTTAGGTACAAAACCCTTGTTACTGATAGTGTCAAAACAGATTACGGTTAGGGTTCAGTGTGTTCAGGTTAGGTTTAGGGCGCAGGTCGCGACAACCAAGGTAAAAAACGTGGTGCTATCTCTTTACATTTATCGAAACCAGAATCAACTTTTTAGCTTTATTAGTACTCTGAGGTACGAATTTTTAAAGTGCAAGTTCCTTTGGTATTTTTTACTATGACTGAGTATGGATGAACCAGGGCTAATACTAATTTCTAATGTAACATCTTGTAACGACCTCATTCCGCTGATCTCGTCAAGTAAATGCCCAAGGACTATATAGTTTATATAAGGCAACGTATCCCCTTATTACTAAAATACTGTTTAGAGACTACTTATTTATTGAACTTTCAACTTTGGTACATGACTAATTAAAGCTTACCCTAACCAATGGTTTAATTGTCTTTGCACACGGCAAACTTTTATGAATGAAACTCTGTGATAGTATACCACTGCATAGCCATTATGCAAATGACTCACACAGTGACTGAATGGCTGCCCATGACAATAAAAAATTTCTAGGTGCATCCCTTGCTTTACCCTTAATTTTTTTTTTTTAATTAATAAAGAATACTGGATATTATATTTAACTCAAGATAATCACTAGCTAGATGTTACCACAGTAGCTTCATAACACTGTGACTGTGAAACATAACTTATACTTAATTTATTAGTAATTATTTAATTAGTGTACAGTAAATCAGTTATCTCAGCCTACTTGACATTTTTTTAAACTTTAAATGACTTTAGTTTCAGTCTTAGTAAAGTTTTAGCTGTAAGGGTAATCTAACTTTTTAGCAGTAATCATAACTACATCTTGTATTACTAAAACTAAATCACACTGAATTCATTTTAAAGATATTTATATACTCTCAATATTTTTATTACTAACCTATTTAATATATTTTATATGAAAGAATCAAATTGATTTCTTATATTTGACAGATTTAAAATGAGTGGTGGTTATCATGGCTATTATAGTCAAACAAATACTCATAACAACATGCACAAAGGGAGACAGAGATATTTTGATTCTGATAAAGAAGACCTTGGACCAACAAGTAACAGAGAAGACAGATTTTTTAATGATAGTAATGGTCCCTTAGGAAAAAGTCATGGATTCACAGCTTCAGAGCGATATGGCATCAACGATGGAAAAAAGTTTGAAAGTGACAGGGGAAGAAAACAGAATATATTTAAAAGGAGAGAAACTCACAGAGGTTGTCAATCATTAATTTGTATTAAATTATTTATTGTAAGGTTTTTTTTCTATTTAGTTCATTATATTCATAAGATTGTATAGCTAATTAATGAAAAATAATGTTGATTTTATAATTTCATTGATCTATCTGATCGCAACATATAAATTTATAATTTTAGATGTATAGTTAAATATTTGAATAGCATGAAAACTAATTTAAAGTTCTTTGAGTGTTATAATGTTATAAAGTAGCCTTTATAGAAAATTTAAATTAATTTTTTGTATATCTTTTAAAATAGTTCCAACTTTTGAAAATGCTGAAGACACCACTGAACAGAGCTCATCTAGACCAAAACGACATCCACCTGGCCTCAGAGGAAGGGAGATTGGACTTTGGTATGCTCAGAGACATATCGGACAAAAGGAAAAGGAAAGGAAAAATGTGAACAGCCTTTCAGATATTTTTTAAATTTCCATTTTAACAAAGCTCAACAATTTTTGTCAGTGTTGGGTTTTATTTAAAACATTATAACATGTGAATGTTGATTCCCAGTTTTGTACTGTTAATACAGTGCTTAAGCAGTGGTTAAGACATCCAAATATTTTTCTTAAACAATGTATGTGTGATTATTTTAGTTAATATTTGAAGATTTTTTTATTTTTTGAGTTCTGCTTGGTTTGCATTGTTGCTTCTAAATGAGATCATTAAGGTTTAATTTTTCTGTCAATATTCTTTAATGCCACAAGCACTTAATTCAATTCTTTTGTAGAGACCTACTGTTTCCATGGACAAAACAAGAGAAAACAGCATCAGAGAACTATTGAGCAATCTCAAGCAGGATGGTAAATTAAAAACCTTTAGACTGATTAGAGAGTGAAAATATATTATTTAAAACAACTAACGTCATCAAACATGGTCTCACTGAACCATTAAAACTTTAAGGAGATCAATAATCATTGCTTTGTGTGAGATAAACTATTTTCTAATTTGTTTCATATCATAAATTTTAATGTTGATTGGCTTTAAATTAGCCCATTGGAGAATTTAATATACTAAAAATGAATTATTTGAAAACACTTATACCTGATTTATGAAATGTCCTTGAAACGATCTCTCAGACTCCAATGATGAAATTTAATATCATATGGTTAAAAAGCCATTGTTGTATTTAACTTAATGTTTTATAACCTTTTTTAACTGGATTTTACTTCTGAAAATTTATTTAGCCTTACAGTTCACAAATATTTGTTACTACAAATTTTACTTTTAAATATTATAAAATAAATTATATTTTAGTTAGTCATCAAAAGAACGTCACTGGATCAAAAAATGAAACTGCATCCAACATTTTAGCAAGTTCTTCATCTTCAAAAAGCTGGACTTCAGACCTAGCATCATTTCCTTCACAATTTTCCCAGTCTAGTCAACACATTGTAAAAGGTTAGAAAATGACAATTGATTCTTATCTCCCAATATATCTGCATTCAAGCAAATATATTTATATATCTTTATATGCATTGTTGATAGTGTGAGTTAAAGATTTATGTTTTCTTTTCATTTTTCTCATTTATAATTATTTTATTTTCAATAGTTGAATTATTTTCTAAAGTTTTTCTGGCATATTCTCTTATTTCCTGCTGCAACCTCATGGGACACTCCTGGAGGCAGCTTCTATTATGGCTTTGGTTATTTTTCTGATAAAGCTGAATTCTTTTTATTATTATTGAATCCCCCAAGTTTCTGTCACTCCAGATGGTATAAAATATAAATCATAGTTTAATGTCCTCCTCAGATGAGGAGTATAAAGAAGAAGTTAAAGAAGAACCACCTGACAGTTGGGAAGATGGAGATTTTGATGAAATGGAAACAGAAGGTAATACATTTCTTGGACTCATTTCATCAAGTGATTAAAAGTCCTCGTCTGGTAGAAATAAAGATTTTACTACAAATTCTGTTATAACATAGTTAAAAAAAAAAATTTAAATGTTATTGCCATAAAATGTAGAACTTTTATTTGAAAAATTAAAAAAAAATATACGTTGTACATGATCTCCTCAGTGGAAAAACCGGGTTCAAGATCACAAGAAGAGCCAGTAGATCTGGATGGTTATGATGATGAAGACAACCAGCTGCCAAGTGTCACAGGAGTTGTTGAATATATGAAGTCACATGGGGATTACCCTTACGCTGGGGAAGAGCCTGAATCTGGTAAGTTGGTGTGATTACTTTGTAAAATATAGTAATGAAGAGACCTACAAAACTTTGAGGTTTCTTCAGAAGTATTATCAAATGGGATGTACTAGCCAATAAGAGTACAATTAAATGTCACAACCCAAATATGAATCAATACCTCGGGATATAGGTTGTGCAAACTTCTAGGGATATTTTCTGATTTTGATGATGCTGTCACTTCTGCTCGCCATTAGCCAAAGGAATAGACAGGGTCAATGGAAATTGCTTCGTAACTAGGTTCTTCATTGATATTTTAAGTAATGGTAATTTTACTATAGTGTATTAGACCATCTGATGCAATGTATGTTAATTTTATTGTTCATAATATATATAAATGAATTCTTTCTTTCAAATACAATTTACAAAAGGATATTAAGACTATACGCTAAATTTAGTAATTTCTATATATGCGTTCATCAGGAGCCACTACATTATTTTTTTTAAAAAGGATTACATATAAATGTCTATTTTTAACTGTTGACTGGTATCCTCAGATTTCATGGCTATCAACACTGACTCCCTCAACCCTGAATATGATATGCGAATGAAGCTGTCAATGGAACGTCTCTGTGAAAATCCCCAGTATGTCAAAATGGTGGAGTTTAGAAAAAAGCTGCCATCTTATCAAATGAGAGAAGTAAGTAATAGGTAACTTTAACTTCTGGTCAACCATCTTGACGCCTCATTTTTTTAAGTTACTAAGGTGTTTGTTTTTGGAGTGGGGTGGGTGTTGTCCTCCAGACAATAGAGAGGGTTTCAGTGTCCACCTTTCTCTTTATCACATCCAATAATATCTTTTAAGAATTTTATTTGAGGGTGAACTTCCATGATATCTTTTTTAATGTCCACACAGTTAAAGTTAACTCCTAGAAAACTTTATTTAAGTTGGCCATACTTTGTGGCAGGATTATTTGTCCTAGCATGTCAACAGATTATACATAGACCAGGCACTTTGAACAGAGTGACAGCTCCGCATTATTCACTAGGACCAAGAATGACAGCTGTGCAGTATTTATTAGTACCATAAAGAGTTGATGATTATGGCTTCTGTTTCTGCAGTGTTAGATGACAGAGCATCTAATAAATGTAAAACTCATTAAAAACATTGCAATGTGCTTCTTATTACTAATGATGAAATCTATTTGTTTAACTCCATATCTTCTCAACAGACAATAGTCGGAACCATCAACAGTAATCAGGTGCTGGTGGTGAGTGGAGAAACTGGTTGTGGCAAAACAACACAGGTTAGAAATTCTGAAAGATGATTAAATTGATGCTAATACTTTAATTTGTTTGTTTGTCTTAACTCTCATGGGGATTCAGGACAAAAATGCGATGTCATAAATAATGTTTAAGACTAATTCATAAATTTGCAGGTGAAAACCCACGTAGGCCTTAAATGAAAGTATCATTAGTTTCTGTGATATTAACATTATGAGGGTTTGCCTAAATGAAGTTTTGATCATACTCATTCAAGGTACCCCAGTTCATCCTTGATGACTTCATTCAAAGAGGCATTGGATCTCAGTGCAGGATCATCTGCACACAGCCTCGGAGAATCAGTGCAATATCTGTGAGTGCTAAGAGTGGGGCATTCAAATGATTTAATACTACCTACTTAATTTTACTGAGATACTCCCACATTCAGTTTTCAGCAGTGAGGATTAAAACTGTATCTCAAGGCCTATTACAGTAAATGTTTTTTTTAGTAATTTATTTTTCTTCAAATCAGTGAATTATTTAATTTTACATTATCTAAAATAAACTGCAATTTTGAGCAATGGTATCAAGCTGAGAATGCTTTTTGTAAAAAATCTGGTTGTTTTTTACTCTAGTTGATGCTTTTTAAGTTAGGCGGTTTTGTTGTCTAGTGGGAAGTGGTTACCAATCCTTTTTATCTCCCATAATCTTTGATTAGACTTTTATGTGCTCGCCCCTTCCCTTACCCCCTTAAAATTTATAGGCTTTTATTTTCTATTTTACAAGTTGTTAAGTTGTTGTTTTTTTAATGCAAATAAAAATATTATTTTAAAAAATGCAGCTAAATATTGAAATATAGCCTCTCTTCAATGAACAAGTGTAAAAAGAAAAATAAAAATTTATTGCCATTTTTCTCTATTATCGATATAATTTTTACATACTGTTATGTACCGTTATAAGTGTAAAGAATTTAATCTCTTATTTTAATATATATGGCTCGTTAATAAACAGTACACAACAAAGGATGATATCATTAATTTAATACAGTAATAAAGAATGATAACCAAACTAAGCCTAATTACAAATAATAATTTATTAAGCTAATTTAAAAATTACAAAATCAAATAGAATAAAACTAAGGCTTTTAACTAACAGTAATAATAATAATAAAGTTCATTTCAAAAACACGCTTCATCCCCAAAGGCTCGAAGCGCGGTACAAAGTCAACAAAAAACATATCTATAATTAACCACATTTAAAACAAACGCAACACTACAAAAACTAACTACAAGCATACAATCTCAAAGTCTTTCTAGCCATTTCAACCCGGAGCAACACAGCCATTATGCATTAACTGGAAAATAAGGTAGACAATCATCCCAAAAGGTATTTACGAAATAGATGTGTCTTTAGATCGGTTTTAAAGGACTCCAGTGTCTGGTTGTTTCTGAGATCGACTGGAAGGGCGTTCCAAATTGTTGGACCTGCAAATGAACATTTACCGGTACAATGTTGAAAAAGGTGCACACACACAGAGTAAATATTAATATACAAATCTATGATCAGTACCAAACTCTGTCTCTCTCCTCTGTTGATCGACTTATTTATAGTCTTTCTTAGAGACTCTTCCAGAAAGGGGTTCATCATTTTTTTTGTAATTTGTAATTAAACCACACCCATCGTCGCTGAACTTGGGGTCACCCAGAGTTCATGCACAGGTTTCACAATGTAAACAAGATGCCTATGGTAACACATACCCGCAAGCCATGTAACCTTGGGATACATGTACCATAGGTTGGGACTCACTGGTCTAGGGGGTTAACGATTTACAAAGGCATTACACTTGAAAAATCTAGCCTAGTAAAATGATTGAAGAAATAAGTTAAAACCACTGGCACCCACCATATATAATTAAAATATATATGCATATTCTTAAGCTAAACCTACAAATCTTGAATCAGGTGTCAGAGCGGGTAGCAGCAGAGAGATGTGAGAAAGTGGACAAGTCTTACACCTCTAGTGTGGGCTACCAAATAAGATTAGAGACGTAAGGTTATTTATGTGTGCAGTAAATAAGGCAATAGATAAAATGCACAATTAGGAAACTTTTGAGGTTAATTAAATCATTAATATTGATTGAATTTTTCAAAAGTTATTTAATTATTTGAGTTTAATTAAGTCACATAGTTTTCTAATGTATTCTTTTAAATTAAAGTTAGATGTTCTTTCCATTAGCTTTATAGAACACGGTACCAGTATGTGTTAGGGTTTTGACCCACCCTAATAATTTAACAGGTTGATTAGTCTACATTTATAACATCTTTCAGCTTTTCAAGTGTGATTATTGTGTTTTAAAAAAAATGATTAATTTGACTGGATTGTACCTTGGAATATTTAAGATGGTAGATTTGTATGTTATAATATTTTAGCTAAGTGTTTTAATGCATTTTCAACTTCTCTTTCAGTAAACTCCCAAGATCTCATGGTTCCATTCTGTTCTGTACAACTGGTATTGTCCTTAAATTCCTGGAGAAAGACCCGTAAGTTTTACAAGATTTTATATATAAATTTAAAAATTTTTCCTTCTCCAATATGGTTCATTAATTGGAATTAATTAACTATGCAATAAAACTTACTGAATTTTGTACATAGGTTTGTTATAATATTCTTAGCTATTAAGCAAGTAAAATTTTCATTAAGACAATGAGTCAAACGCCAAAATAATTAAATGCAGACCTGTTTATTTCTAATTGAATTTTTTTTTCCAGGTGCCTGAAACGTGCAACACATGTTATAATCGATGAGATCCATGAACGAGATCTTCAGTCTGATTTTTTAATGATCATCCTTAAAGATCTGTTACCTCTGCGACCTGACCTGAAAGTCATATTGATGAGTGCCACTCTAAATGCTGAAATGTTTTCAGAGTATTTCAGTGAGTTAAAGATCTTAGCTGTCATGTGATAGACAGTTGTATTTTATCTTTAGCTCTCTGGGGTAAATTTTATTATCATGTTAGTATTTTATTTATTTTGATTTTTATAGTTGGTCCTTAAATGATAATTGTCTATTACAAAATATAATTCCGCTATGTTTTGCTCCATTTTTAACCAATGCAATGTTGTTTTTTATCTCAGTGGTTTTACTATCTCAGATTTTTTTTTAAAAACAATATTTTTTTATGTTTCCACAGACAAGTGCCCTATGTTAAGTATACCCGGCTTCACATTCCCAGTGAAGGAATATCTCTTGGAGGATGTGATTGAGATGACAGGGTAATTTTTTATTTTCCAATGTCACCCACAGCATTCAGCAGGAAGTAGTTTTTTTTTTTTTCTACTCTAAGGTAGGAAATTTTATTCGATTTATCTAGGGACAGTTTTGTAATAAAATCTCCCGATTATTCTCAGATATACTTCAGAAGACATTTCTCCAAGGAGACGTCAGTGGCGAAAATTAAAACCAGGGGAAAGAGAAGAGCAAGACAATTACGCTGTTTGGTGTAGAAACCTTCAAGGGCGGTATGTTCAGTCAGCTATTGACCCTCTCATCTCAAATTAAAGTAACGTTTTTTTTTCTTTCCTTTGTTTTTTTCCTTTCTAAAAATTCCATTTCTCAACAATAGAATCAGCCTTTTGTAAAAGCATTACCCATACAATTTGAAAGAGCTGGCTTTGTCATCTCATATATTATTGACTGTATCTCCCTTACCAGACCCTCCCCTGATCAATTTGTATGTCTCATGCTTATCACTTCTTAGCCTTGTAAAGCTCTGTGGAAAAACTACAAGTTGACTCAGATCTGTTCTGACTTTATTTAGCGAATGTCCTTGCATGAACAGAAATACTCTTGCTTAGGAACACTTGACTGGTCTAAGTTAATAAAATATGATGACTTTGAGGTCAACTTTCTGATTTTATGAATATTTTTCTTCTCAGTTATAGCCAAAAAACCATCAGCGTCTTACAAAATTTTGACTTTTCAAAAGTTAACATTGACTTGATGGCACACATAGTAAACTACATCTGCACCCGGCTAGAGGTAATCAGACTGACCCATCTTTCCAATCGCTGCATTAGAGAAAAAGTTTTGTACTTAAAATTTTTCAAAACGTTCCTCTTTCAAACAGATGAAAGCATTATTTAAAATCTTTAAAAAAGTTGTTTATCCATATGCCAACCTGCCCTATGGGATACTTGTATTTTTTCATTCAAATTATTTTAATCTATTTAATAATTTTAAATGAACAGTTTTATTGTAACTTACTTGTGAGTAAATGAGAAGAATTTATTGCAAAAGGAACACACTCAAAAGACTTAATTTTCCAAAGTCGATATATCGGCACAGAGAAGTTAAGAAGTTGGGCTTAATAATAATAGAATGTGTTCTAAATATGTAAGTTAATAATGGGAATTAAAACAAAAACAAAAATTCTTTTTTTTAAGTTCTTTCATCTTTTATTTGTGTTTCATAGTCTCATGTCCCATTTTTCATTTACTAAAGATTTTTCTTGTTACTCTACTTTTGTAGAGTTGCTTATAGAGTTGCTCATGTTTTTTATGTACTTTTCAAGCTTAGTCTGTAATCTGTCTGTAGGAATTGCATTGTCTCTTTTATAGAATGGAGCAATTCTTGTTTTTGTGCCTGGCTGGGAAGATATTAAAAAGCTGAATGAGGCAATACAGAACACACCAAGATGTAAATCAGGTCCGGGTTATTTTATTTCATTTTTTTTTTTTTTCATTTCCTCACAATTTCAACAGGACTTTTTAGAAATGCTAAAAGCTCTTCTTTAAAAAAAATGTTTAAATTTTAATTTTCATAAAAATCAACAGGCTCTCTCAAAGTTATTCCACTTCATTCTCTGATGCCAACTGTCAATCAAAGGGAAGTATTTGAAAGACCCCCACCTGGAGTTCGTAAGATTGTAATTGCCACAAACATTGCAGAAACCAGGTCAGAATGAATTTTGTTTTAGAAAACAGCACATTTTTTTAAAAACAGCCAATAAGTTTTATCATTTGAATGAAAGGTTCAACGTTACATAACTGCTAGGATCAGATTATTTGTTTAATTAATTCTTATTTATAGTTTTCTTTGGAATCTGCTTAATCCTGTTGCTATTACATTCAGCATCACCATTGATGATGTTGTGTTTGTGATTGACTGTGGGAAGATTAAAGTGAAGGGCTTTCAACCAGAAATAAATCTCTCATCATTAGAAACCCAGTGGGTCTCAAAGGCCAATGCCAAGCAGCGGCGAGGAAGGGCTGGAAGGTCAGTATTTTGTTTTTGTTTTCATCCACATTTACTTTTAATAGTTTTCAATGCTTCTTCATTTTATCTTCAGTGAATCAAAATACTTTTAGAGTATTTTATTTTGTTGATTTTTTAAAAATATTTTTTTTTTTAAATTTTATAGAAAAGGGTTTTTAAAAGATGTATTATATTTTAAAAAATATATTTGAGTAAAGTGATTGTTTGGTTTTAAAGTTGTGGGGTGAGGATGGTATAAAAAAAAAAAAAAAATCCTTCTTAAAACTTTGAAATTGCAATGTGGTTTATTTCAAACATGAGTTAAAATACAGAAGAAAAATTTATCCTTTAAGGGTCCAACCTGGTTACTGCTTCCACTTTTACACAGAGTTTCAGTACAGTCTCGCACCAGATTACCTCCCTCCTTTTTTATTTTTTTTATTTTTTAAAAATATTTTTTTTTTTTAATTTTATAGAAAAGGGTTTTTAAAAGATGTATTATATTTTAAAAAATATATTTGAGTAAAGTGATTTTTTGGTTTTAAAGTTGTGGGGTGAGGATGGTATAAAAAAAAAAAAAAAATCCTTCTTAAAACTTTGAAATTGCAATGTGGTTTATTTCAAACATGAGTTAAAATACAGATGAAAAATGTATCCTTTAAGGGTCCAACCTGGTTACTGCTTCCACTTGTACACAGAGTTTCAGTACAGTCTCGCACCAGATTACCTCCCTCCTGAGATGCTGAGAACCAGACTTGAAGAACTGTGTCTCCAGATCAAAGTAGGAACTGAACTGTTAACGCTTATTTAGATTTTTAAAACAGCTTACATATTGAAAAAAACACAATAAATATGCAATCTCTCCAACCTAATTGTATTTCAAAGCTGAAATGTACTGTGTATTTTCACAGCAGAAACCCTTATATATATTGTGTCAAAAACTATTTGTTTTATAAAAATATTTGTTCACATGAGTATAAAGCTCTTCTGTGGAGTCTGATTACAAGCTTATTTGTAAAAGTTCATTTATAATTTTTTTTTTTTTTATATATAGAATATCATATTCTTACAACTGTCTAATGAAAATGAACACTGAGTTGTTTGTAATATTCTGTACCTCTCCAGCTTCTGAAGTTAGGGTATATTGTGCCTTTTATAAGTAAAGCCATGCAGCACCCTTCAAAGGAAGCCATCACCCATGCTGTAGAGACCCTGATGGAATTGGTAGGTTCATAAATGAAAGTCAGTTTTTTTATTTGGAAAATGTCATTAAAAAATGTTGAAAATAAGGCATAAAAATGAAAAGCAAAAAGTTTTTTTTAATAGAGTTCTTATTTGGATTTTTTTAGCGTGTTTCCCAAACATATCCTTTTTTTTTTTTTTTTAAATGAGGAAAAACATTTTTTTCCAGAATGCTCTTGATGCCAATGAGAATCTGCTTCCCTTGGGATATCATCTTGCTCGAATGCCTGTAGAACCTCACACAGGAAAAATGATTCTTTTCGCAGCCATGTTCTGTTGTCTTGACCCCATCTTAACGGTGGCTGCCAGTTTGAGCTTTAAAGATGCATTCACAATTCCTCTGGTAATACTATGATAGTCTTGCTTTAACAAAAAATCTTTTTTTTTCTTTCTTTTCAACATCCATTAAATATCTTTTAAAATGATGATAATGTTTTTAAAAAGGTATTTAGTTGATTGATGTAGATAACATTATTATGCCGGTTAATTGAGTTTTCCAAATATCTTTTTTGCAGGGCAAGGAACACCTGGCTGACCAGACCAGAATTCGTTTATCTGGAGATAGTAAGAGTGACCACATAATGCTCATCAATGCATTTAAGGTTGGCTTTCAGTAGATATTCGATATGTTAAAAATGCTTAAATGAATTGATTGTACGTAAAACATATATTCCTTGATAAACCATATTCACTTATTCAGGAATAATAGCTACATATTGCATGTGGTAGCCGCAGTGTTGGGGTAGTCAGGATATTATCTTGATCTGCAGATCACAGCTAGTAATTTATTCCATCTGGTTTACTTCCTGTTCCTAAAGAAAATGTTTACATATTGTAATTAAGAAAATGTTTAGAATATTGTAATCAAGGAAATGTTTATATAAACAACACAATGAATTCCAGCCCCATAAATGTAAACAACTCTAAGGGCATTTTTTGGCATGTATTTGTGATAGATAAATTTGTTAACAGATGACTTGAGAACAACTTAATCCTCTTGGTTTACTGCCACAACTCAATGAATCAATTTATTCAATTAATTCTATTTCTTGTTCTTTCTTGTTTTGTCCTGTCCGCTGAAGAAGACTTATAGCCAAAATGTTCTCCTTTTATTGTCCTGTCTTGTCATTTCAAGCTTCCACACAACTTGTTCCATTATTTCCTTCACACAGCTTGAGCGCAGTCCTTCATTTAATATCAGTTATTTTTCCACATGTAATGCTTTCTTAGAGCTTATTTTATACATGCTGCATGTCTATTGTTTAAGTGAAATTATGTGTGGTCACTTGGTAATATTTACCTCTTCTCTTCTATAATTTGAGGGCCCATGATCAATGAATTGATCATTCTGGCTCCTATGTTTCAGAGGGGTTCGCGATTTTACTGTGCATGGTTTTGAATGGGATACTTCACTGGTTGCAAGGGCTATTAAGAACTGGGGGGTGTGAAGACAGGAGGCAAAAGCTGCAAATGTGTCAAATGTAGTCGCCTCAACTGTTGCTTTTGGAAGCTTGTTCCAGTCCCTTATTGTCTTTGGCAGGAATGAGGAGCTTCTGTACTGAGTTCTTGTTTTTATTAGCCAGAACTGCCTGTCGTAGCCTTGTTGCTGTCAAAGGGGGAGAGGGACAAGTTTCTATTTAATGCTGGAGCAGTGGACCAGCCCATTTTGATCTTGTACAACATGGAGAGCCTGGATAGTCGTCAACGTTCTTTCATTGGTGACCAGCCCAGTGTTTGTAGCAGTTCAGGACAAACCGTGCTGCCTGTCACTGGACCGCCTCCAACCTGTCGATGCTCTTCTGGGTAAATGGGTCCCAAACTGGAGATGTGTACTCTAAAAGCGGCCAGACAAAGGCTTTATAGGCTTTTTCTTTCACGCTTGAGTTGCCGATCTTCAGATTTTGCCTTAGGAACCCTAGTGTCTTGTTTGCCTGGTAGCACACATTGTTAATGTGCTTGTTCCAGCGGACCTCTCTTTGAATGGTAACACCTATGTACCTAACGGAGGAAACTGGCTCAAGAATATGGCCATCCAAATCGTAAGGGTGGTGTATAGGGGAACTGCTTCTGGACACTGACAGGGTCTGGCACTTGACGGGATGAAATTCCATGTCCCAGCTCATCTCCCACTCTGCTAACCAATGGAGGTCCTGTTGTAGCTGGTCCTGATCAGAACTCTTGGCGATCATCCTATACACCGCCGTGTCATCTGCAAACAGTCTTGCTTGAGAAGTCAGCTTCTCGAGCAAGTCATTGATATATGCTAGGAACAAACAAGGTCCAAGCACCGAGCCTTGAGGGACCTCTGACTTAACACCGACAAAGGAGGAGGTTGTGCTATCTACCACTACCGCCTGGCATTAGTTGCCGAAGAAGCTAGAGATCCATGTTTTGATAGTGCCTTGGATCCCATAACTCTGCAGTTTGTGTAATAGCAAACTATGATTGGCACGGTCGAACGCCTTTGAGAAGTCCAGCACAAGCAAATCAGTTTGCTTACTGTTCTCCAAATTGTTCATCAATTCTTCTGCAAATTCAAGGAGTTGGGTCTCACATGATCTGTTGACTCGGAAGCCATGCTGACAGTCATTGAGTATATTCTGGCTTTCAAGATGATTCATGACCGCGCTTACGATTATGTGCACCAATAGTTTGTATACTATGCTGGTGAGGGATACCGGGCGGTAGTTGGCAGGGTCGTAATGCTCCCCTTTTTTGTAGATTGGAGTGACATGAGCTATTCTCCAGTCAGTTGGAACTTTGCCTGTGCCTAGCGACAATTGGAAGAGGATTGTCAGAGAGGGAGCGATTTCATTGGCCAATTCTTTTGAACTCGTGGTTTGATGTAGTCAGACAACATTTTGTTCATTTGGTAATATTATTTTGTTCACTTGGTAATATCTACTATTTTGTTCACTTGGTAATAGGTATTTACTATTTTGTTCTCTTGGTGATATTGACTATAGGGATGGGAAGATAGCCTAAGAAGAGGAACCAGTCAAAGATACTGCTGGGAAAACTTCTTGTCAGACAACACCTTAAAGGTAAAAGTATTATTAATGCCTCTTATGTAGGGAGTTACTTATAATTCGACTTATGAGTCTAACAATGGCTAGCAAATGCATCAAGGTTCTTAAAGGTGTTACTTTTTCCTATTCAGAAAACAGATAAAGCCGCTGCCATTTTGGTTTTTCAAAAGTAATATTTATTATTTTCACATAAAATAATTATTGTATTTTTATGAACTCTCACAAATGTTTACATTCCTTTTAAAAAATAAAAAAAAATTGTGTTGTCTTAGATGCTTAGAGATATGAAGAAACAGCTGGCTGAACTTCTGTATGATATTGGTTTTATTGACTCAAAAGATCCCAAGAATCTTTCAGCAAATAAAAACAGTGGTGAGTATGTTTCCCTTATGCAGACCTGCCAAACCTTCCGATTTTGTCGGAATTATACGGATCTTTTACCCCTCTTTCCAACAAACCCCTTAAAACTCCAATTTTTCGAACTTTATAATTTTTCACCCTTTATAATAATTGAAAGCGACCCAAAAAAAAAATTAAAAATATCGGGTACGACTGGAATTGTCCGGCGACCAGACGAATAAGTGAATAAGTTCTCGAGATATTCGCCCTGCCACTATATATTTGACCAAATCACATGACCAGCGTAACAAAGTTGCGAGAGATATTATGCACAAGATATTTGTCCGTCAGCTTTGTCATGTGACCGCTTATTTTTTATCAGAGTTTACGGTTTTTCATTTCAACAAATTCAAGATAGTCTGGACTTTACGTGAAAAAGAAATCAATTCTACAAAAGAAATACTAAAACCATTACTGGTATATTTATAATGAATGATCTGTTAAAAGTGACAATGTTTTTTATGAAGCGTCACATGCCCGCCGTATGAATATCTCCCGCACTATTTGTCCGGTCGCCTGACTTGTAGACACTGCCTCGTTTTTATCGAAACGAACCATGATCTCCAAATCATTCTTCAATCATCAATTGATCCGATCGTGATGCATCCTTTTACAATTTTACAAGGCTAAAAAATAATGCAGACTTTTTTTTTGTTAAAGCTTTTCTTAATTAAATCGTAAACTCTACTGAAAGTGGTGGGTACAATGGTATTAATAAACATATAAACATATTAATATTTTAATACCCCCCCCCAACCCCCCGAAAAAAAATAAACCATACACAACTGCAGCTAAAAGTAAAAGTAATCCATGTCTAATTAAAAGTTTCTTTGCTAAAGAATCCGATCGTTTTAATGCCAGTGTCAAAGAAATGTTTCCAGACTTGCTGAATGCTAGAAGATTTTGAAGAAAAATTACAATGAAACAATGGCAAACATGAAAGTTGAACTGTTTCTAACTTGCTTGACTAAAATTAATTGTAATGCTAGCCTTCAGTTGTCCAAAGAGCTGTTGGACAAGTGCAAAAAGGCCACTGGGGATATGCTGGAAAACTGAACTCTTAGCAGCCTGTGTAAATATGTAAATAAAATGGATCTTCTGTCTTGTAGCCTACTGTTTATAAACATTTCCAGTAGTGTTTTTCTCATGTTATGTGGACTCTTCAAAGACAATGGAGGCAACTTTACATTTCTTTATTTAATAAAAAAGGTTTGTGCATTAGTTTATAAATCTTAAAGGAACGCCGCCCCCTCCTCCCCGCCGGGGTCAGCGGTCCTCCTTCCCCCCTGCATGCAACCCCCCTACAGATTTTTTTCTTGGCAGGTCTGCACAGCATATGATATCGGTTTTATTCACTCAAAAGATCCAAAGAATCTTTCAGCAAATATTAACAGTGGGGAGAATGATATTGCAGTGCATCTTGGCCCCCTGGTTGGCAGCAAAGCATTTAAGCCAAGTTTTGGTTTTTATAGGGATGTCTGCATAAGCAATCTAGCTTAGTATAGTGAGTAATCAAGTGCTGATACGCATTCAGAAATGTTTTATATTTTTATATTCTTTGCTGTAATATGACATTATTGGAGTAAGTTTGTGATCTGCCAATACTTGATAGTGATACTTTCTGGTTAAATGACGATTTATGACAAGGTGAATAATTTTTTATATATATATTTTATTCACCAGATAACCAAGGGCTGGTGAAGGCAGTTTTGTGTGCAGGGTTGTATCCTAATGTAGCTGAAATCACAAAAGTCCCCACCGCAAAGTCTTCAAAATACAGGTCAGAAATTACCACATTTTAGCTTTAGGCCCATTAAAACGTTTACTGCACTTAAATGTGTCCTAATTCTATGTAAAGTATTGTCGATCAAGTACAATAAAAACTGCATATTTCCCACAGGGGTGCTGGGGGTCTCGGAATGCTCGTGAAGGACAACACAAAAATCCAAGCCCATCCCAAGTCTGTCAACATGAAGCAAACATTTTTTGAGAGCAAGTGGATGGTGTTTTACCATAAACTTAAAACCACAAAGGTTAGCAAGATCACTTTGAGCTCTCAAAATGTGTTTTACAAATATGATAACACATCCGAGGATGAAAGAATTAAACGAAACTTTTTGAGCACAAAATTTTGTTTCATCTTTTAAAACTTGATATGCAACAGTGATTATAAAAATAGCCCATAGGTCCAACTTTGACTGGGTATATGATGCAGGAATATAACCAGACAACTATTTACTGAGTTGATAAACCTGTTTTTATTTCATCCAGGTTTTAATGCCAGTAGTTTTACTTCTGAAATAATGTTTGTTTCAACATCACACCATCACAGGTTTACATCCATGACTGTACAATGGTTTCACCATACCCACTCCTGTTTTTTGGTGGAGAAATCAAGATTTTGAAGGTTTGTTTTTTGCAGTCTAGAAATCTTTAGAAATCAAGTTTTGGTTACAATGTTATTAGGCTTCTTGTGTTTACCCATGATAAGAAAAAGCTTGAAGTTAAAGTTGTTTTATAAGATAAGATAAGATTCTTTTATTGATCCAAATAAATTGAAATGTTTTTTGATTGCATTATACATTTTCAGCACATAAATAAAACAATTTGAAGACAAGACATTTATAATAAATTATTTCAAACAGCCATTCAGTGAGTTCTCTTAGCCAAATCGGGGACTTATTAGTTCTCATGAAGATGTGTGACTTCAGAGGGAGCACGCCGGTAAATTCGTACAGATTGGGGAACAAAAGAATTTTTATATCTTTCAGTCCTCGCCCTGATGGAAAGAATTCGTCCCAAACGGCCCGATCCTAAGTATTTGTGGTGAAGAGGGTGGGATGTATCATCCAAAATATGTTTAGTTTTACAAAAACATCTTTCTTCAAATAGTTCTACAAGTGAAGGATGTTAAGCTTGTGTTATGTTCCTAGCTTTCTTGATTAATATCAGACGTTGAATTCCCACACCAGCAGGTAATACTGAAATTAAGTAGGCTTCCAATTGTTGCTCTGTAGAATAAGTTAATGATTTGTTTGTTTATGCCGAAATTTTACAGTTTTTTTATGTAGAACAGCCTTTGGTTGAATTTCTTATACAGCATTTGGCCGTGCTCATGCCATGTTAGCTTATTATTAATGGTGACACCTAAGTACTTGTGTGACTCCACTTTCTCTACACTTTGTTTTTTTATGTTGAGATCTGTAATCTGGTGTTTCCCCCTCCTGAAATCAACAACCATTTCCTTTGTTTTTTGAGACATTCAGCTGGAGAAAATGTTCATCGCACCAATTGATAAAGCTTGTAACTAAATTGCGGTATAGGCCTTGTCCTTCAGATATTAAGCCAACAATGGTGGTATCATCAGCAAATTTTAAGATTGGAACGGTGTCGCTTGAGCTTTGAATATCATTGGTATATATTGTATACAGTACAGGAGAGAGAACGCAGCCTTGTGGTGCCCCGGTGCTTATTTCTCTGGTTAGAGATACTTGGTTATTTACTTTGACATATTGTGGTCGATTTGTTAAAAAGTTCAGTATCCAAGCCTGAATATTTAAATTGACACCTAACGGACGAGGAAAGTTTCTTTATCATAAGCTGTGGTTGGATAGCGTTAAATGCTGTTGAGAAGTCTAAGATAAGCTCTCTGGCATATGTTTTAGGACTGTCTATGTGATGGTAAAGTCTCCAACAATTGTAAGATTGCATCCTCCGTACTTCTGGCAGGTTTGTAAGCAAATTGGTGGGGGTCAAGTTTTTGCTGTACTTCATTTAAAATTTCTTTCAGAATTATTTTCTCAAAACATTTCATTACAAAAGAGGTAAGTGCAACAGGTCGTAAGTCGTTGTTGCACGTTACCTTATTTTTCTTTGGAATTGGTATGATTTCTGAAGTTTTCAAAATTGCTGGTATTGTGTGAGTTACATAAGATTTATTAAATATGTTACAAAAAATGTATGAGAGCTGCTCTGAGCAAAGTTTAATGAACCGACCACTTAATTTGTCTGGTCCTGAGGCCTTGGCTGCGTCCACTTGTTTAAATAATGACATCACTCCCTGTTCGGTGAACAATAAAGTACCATCCTCTGTATTACTGCCATCTTTAAATAAATTCATCATCTCATTCTGTACTCTTCCAAAGTCCAGGCTGTCAAAACCACAATAAAAGTCATTTAAGTCGTAAACAAAATTCTTCACGTTTTCTCTCATCAGGGATGGGCAATCTTAATTGCAAGTACAATGTGCCAAAAAAGGCTCAAGACACAAGCTATGAAATTTAAACCTAATTTATCTCCAGGCACTGCAAGTTTTGGGCCAGTTTTGAAATTTCAGTTGTGTCGAGAATGGTGTTGCATGTTTTTTGTGTTGGCATTGTCTAGGATATGACGTGACACTCTTGAGGCATTATTTCTGATCATTCTTTAGAGAAATATTGACCACATTTTTCTTTAAAAAAATTCTTTTTATATCCCATTTAAGGAAGGAGGCATGGATCTGGTCTCTGTTGATGACTGGGTCAAGTTCAAAGCCTCGGCGTCTACAGCGCAGCTGGTCAAGGTATGGACCTCTCCACAAAATAAAATGTTTAACCTGAACGTGACAACTTAACTTGTCACACGTTTTTGTTACACACAGTAAATGGGGGTCTAATGCAGACCTGTTTACTCTTACGATTTTGGCGTACCGTGTACCATTTTTGAGGTGTAAACATTATATATACTGTATGTTTATTTTTTACTATTAAGATAATGTATTGAATGATTTTGTGAGGATATCATACGATTTTAAGAGTTTGAGGCTAAACAGATCTGGTAATGGTTGGCATCAACAATACATAGATCTATATTTCTACCATTGAAAAAAAAATATTGGGGGGAAACATTTTAAAAAATAAATTTCTCCAGCCATAGTGCAATGCACCTACTCCTGATGTAATGAAGATTAGCTAAGAGCACTGTGGTGGTGTTGTTTTTTTAACATAATTTGGAAGAGAAAAAAAAATCATTCTATACTATGTTTCATACATCCCTCTGTCACGGTCAGATCGCGTGAGTTTTTCTGTGTGAGCTTTTATGATGTTAATTTGACCAATCGTGGGTGAGTTTCTTTTCCCCGTGTGCCCCACGAGTTTTTATTTTTCTCGGTCAGGTATGACCGGTGTGCTGTGTCGGGAGGAACCACGTGAGGATAGGAGTGTGTAAAAAAAGGGATGATGAGTTGCAGAGAGCGTGACAGTGGCGAACGCGGTGGCTTGGATGTGAGGACGTTAGTTTGTTGAGGGAGATTTTTCTATAGATGGCAGAGGACTTCTGTAATTAAATTAATTTTTTATATTATGTGCAGCATTTTTCTTGACACAAATTTTATATTCTGAAAACCAGCGGATGTTTACTATGCATTTTTCCACTGTCAGGAAGATGGAGGCAATAAATCATATGAACCCTGAAGCTTTGCATCGTTTGTTTTAATAAATACTTGGACTATTCAGCACATCAGCTCTGTAGGGGCTAGACAACAGGGGTTCTAGACCCTTGAAAATTGTTCTGTGGCTAGTACGCAGGGGACCGACCCCTAGACAACGTACGTCACACCCTCATCCTTTGACAATTTTATTTTTCTTTAGTGTTTTAATTTTAATAAATTTTGTCCTATTTTTATTTTTAATCTCAGGATCTCCGCCAACAATTGGACAAACTGTTGACCAAAAAGATCACAGATCCGGGCCCAACATGTTGGGATCAGACCACTTCCGAAGGAGCTCTTATGGCTGCCATTGCTGATCTCATCACAATGGAGGAAAAGGGCTACACTGTACGTGGTCAGAGTATGGGGGGAAGCATTGGTAAAAAGGAAACCGGATCATCGTCCAAAGTTTAGAGTACACTTGCCTTGTCTGTGTATTTAACTGGTTGCCTCCTCTCATAAATTCCTCTCTTATCAGGGGTGGGCAATCTTAAGTGCAAGTACGATGTCCCAAAAAGGCTCAAGGCATGAGCTATGAAATTTAAACCTAAATGGCTGATGGCTTTTAAAGAAAAGACATCTAGGCTTATTTCTTTGTTGACTAAATTGGTTGGTCTAAGTTCAGAAAGGAGAATCAACTTATTTTCTCAGGTATATCTAGATCCTATTGCCCTTGTTCGACATTTAGACCCATCTAAATGCATAGAAATACTGGGCAGTTTCCTGGGGCACCCCAAGCATATCCTTTTGCTAATTTACCTAGGTGGTGACTTGCTGACCAGCTCCATGTGAAATGCCATGCAGGATCTTGTCAATGCTTTTACCTATAATTTATTATTTAATTCATCATGTTCTAATTTTAGTTCTATCTTGTTCTTGTCACATGCACACTTGACACTTCCCTCTCTAATCAAATACTGAACTGAACCCCATGTTTATAAGACAATAACTTCATGGATAATTCTTCTCTTGTTAAAATGTTTCTAATTGTGTATAGTTTATCATGTTTTGTGCTATACACTACAAATGTAGCTGACAGTTGGGGAACAAGTGATGCCATGATTATAATTTAGAAATAAAAACATTGATGTTTGCTTTAAAAAATCATTTCCGCTAGTTTTGTAATTATTTGTTTCAGCAGTTTCATAAAAATGTTGAGAGAGAATGTTCATTAAATGGCAATTCAGGTGTTGATTAGTTGATGACTGTCTCCTTGGTACTCATTTTTTGTACCAAGTTACATACATTTCTAACAGTTACAGGTGCAGGAAAATCCTGGTGTGCAATAAATCTTTTGAACTAAGAGGTTGGACCTAAATAATAACTTTCACTTATAATTGTGATCTAAATATGAAAAAAAATCATTTGTCTTGAGAAGAAAAAAAGTTCAGCTCCAGCTTATCATCAAATCAAATTGCTTTATCAGCTCTATGTAAGCAATAATCGGCTCTATGTAAGCAATCATCGGCTATATGTAAGCAATCATCGGCTCTATGTAAGCAATGCGGAGGGTCGTCTGCTTTTCAGGTACTGCACTTTTGTAAGCCCTTTTTGTTTGTTTTTTAAACTATTGCACTTAGGCCTACAGAATAAGAAAAGGTGGGAGCGGAGTACCCATTGGAATAAATGTTAAAACCTCTCAAAGATGAAATTTTGTATACCGGGGTACCATCTTGCTCAGAGCCCTGGTGTGGGTCCTGGCAATTCTAGTGGATATACTGTGGAACCTCTCATAACGAGCATAATTTGTTCCAGAATCTTACTCGTTATGCGAAACACTCGTTAAACGAAACAATTTTTCCCATACAAATCAATGTAAAATACGAAAATGCGTTCCATGCTGAAAAAATAATAATTTTTCAAAAAAAAATTATTTACATTTATTCAAATAAAATTACTTTATGAATTGTTAAGGAGTGTAACAACTTGGAATACAATTTAGACTTGAAACAAAAAAAGGAAATAAAAATATGAATTTATGACAAATAATTAATCCTTTTTAAATAGAAAACTGTCTAAAAACATTTGTTTTTGCTGATGCTTCGAAATTTGACGAAATTGTTTCACAGCATTATCATTGAATAAATTTGTTGCACGAATAGCCACCTCCTTATTAGGGTGATGCTTCTCAATGTACGATGCAACAGTTTCCCATGCTTTCAGCATTTCTCTTATTGCGCTAGAAGATTGTTGCTCTGCTACTTCCTCCTCCATTAATGAGCTCTCCTCCATAGTCTCTTGCTGTGAAACACGATGCTACTCCATAAGCTCTTCGGTGGTCAACTCTTGACTTCGCTCTTTCACAAGCTCTTCAATATCGTTGTTGTCCACCTCAAGTCCCATGTTTTTGGTCAATGACACAATCTCGTTAACTGTAGACTCCACAGGTACTTTTTCAAAATCACATTCAACAAAACTCTCTGGCCAAAGTTTTTTCCAAGCAGAAGTGAGGGTCCTCTTGGTAACTCCTTCCCAATCATCTTGAGGCAAGCAACGATGTGAAAATGATCTTTCTAAAACTCTCTAAGAGTGAGATGTGTCTCTTCGGTAACTTGAAAACAACGCTCGAAGAGTGTTTTAGTGTAGGGTTGTTGTTATATATATATATATATATATATATATATATATATAAAGAGACTTCCCCTTTCTGCGTATCTCGTTATGCGAAATGTCGCTCGTTAAGAGAGCAACTTCTTCACATTTTTTTTTTGCTCGTAATGTAACTCTCTAAGAGTGAGATGTGTCTCTTCGGTAACTTGAAAACAACGCTCGAAGAGTGTTTTAGTGTAGGGTTGTTGTTATATATATATATATATATATATATATATATAAAGAGACTTCCCCTTTCTGCGTATCTCGTTATGCGAAATGTCGCTCGTTAAGAGAGCAACTTCTTCACATTTTTTTTTTGCTCGTAATGCGAATTACTCGTTATGAGAGGTTCCACTGTACAAGGTGCCCACAGCTGTGATGGAAAAAAAAAAAGAATTAAACTATCAACTTTGAAAATAAGGGGCGAAAAACGGCCTCAAAAAGTCTCACGGTGGCTTTTGATATGATCAAAGATGCAGCTTTCTTATAATAACTTAAAACGCCTGTCTGTGAAATTCAATGCTAGCATAAAGTGATATTTTCATATAACGGAGGGCTATACGAAAAATTATAAGCTTTTCTCTAGTGTAGAGTTAAAAAACAAAAAATAAACTATGGTTGCTATGAATGAATGGTTTGACCTCTCTCTGCTAGAGCTCACGTGCCAGGGAACTGGACAGTCTCCATTGTTTTTCTGTGGTCACAGATAATCGATTGGCAACAGATAAGATAGGTTACCGTACTTACAAAGCTTTTCAGGTTTGGCACAGTCTCTATTATATTAGTGTTTAAATGGGACGGTGGTGGGGGGAACATATCCCTAAAACATTGCATGTTGTCACCAACTACCAACGCCACTTTGTTTTGTAGCCAGGCAGTGACGTAGAAAAAGAGGGGAGGGGGGCTTTTTTTCTTTATTTGGAAGGGCTGCATTTTCTATCAACTACAGAAGTTGTTTTTGGTGGGGTTTTTTCGTGGTAGTGGGTCGGCACTAATACAAACTACGCCACTGTAGCCAGGAATGCCGATGGTTTATTCTGAAACTGAATGGACATAAACAGAGATGTGAGTGGACGCATTATAGCCGATGTATTGTGAAAAATGACTCACATCGCTTAAGACTGTTTGGTTTAGTATCTAATAATTGAAACGGAAAAAAAAATCAGTCCATAGCTTATCTTTCAAGAATTTAAGAAAATTATTTATTCTTTTTTTTTAAAAATGCCTTTGTTTCAAGACGATACCGGTAATTAAAGTGGTTCTCTGTCTAGAACAGTATTTTCACCACCATGTAGGCTATACGCTATTGTTTGTGGTTGCAAGGGATGAAAGACTTGGAATGTCTATTCTCGTATTTAGTTTTTGTAACGTGGGAGGAACAAGCAAAGAATCGAACTTCATGGTGTTCCACTTTGCACAGGAGCTCCATGCAACACGAAGTTGGCAGAACAGCGGCTGCAGAGCGCAAGAGACAGGCCAGGAAGGCGCGGTCTGACTCTGCTCCCGGAGATGCGCCACCATTCCCCTCCACCTACTGCACAAGAGAATTTCGTGCCAGAATCGGCCTCATTAGCCATCTGCGCACCCACAGACAGAACCAGCACAAACTCTGATGATTCAAGTCAAGTGGTCATGGTCGACTCTTGACTGCTAACTTTTGTAATGGAGCGTTTTGTATTTCAATGTGGAATAATATACATTTTTTCATTTTTCTTTTAATATGGTTGACTTTGTACGCGCTTCGAGCCTTTGGGGATGTAGAATAAAAAGACACGAACAAATTGTGTCAATATAACAATATAAGTTACGCTTTAATAATAATTATACATTGACATTATACACAAGTAAACGTTTCGGCACATGCCTTCATCAGTACAAACAAAAAAAACACATTTACATAAGTATAAATTAAATTTACATAATATACATATACATATCCTACCTAAAAAAGAAAAAAAAATAGGAGAGTGCGCTAAAACCAGACAAAAACAAAGTAAAGAGGATGTAACTTGATTTTCAAATGGACTTAATTATTATTATTATTTTTATTATTATAGAACGAAACTTTTTTCTTGTCACCCTCCTTAATTTTTAGCGTGAAACATGAACCAGAGAAAACGGACTAAAATGACTCAGATTATTTGTTTCTTCCCAGATAAATCGCCAGTTCATTTAATTTGAACAACTCCCTGAGTCTTTCTATCTCTTTACTCTTCGGATTCCCCATTTAATTACATAGAGAACTTCGTCACTGTGTGTTAAGATGGAGTTGGTGAAACCCCTGATTATAGGCCCTATACTATGTACACACAAATGATGCATCCTGACCGCAATGTCCACTCTTCTATCATTTCCCATTTAGCTCACACGCAAACAGCTAACCCACTTTTTACAAAACTATTTTGTTAACGAAATTGTCCCACGTAGACTGTAGAGCATGGTCATTAAGTATTAATACTTATAAAAAAGTAAGTAGGTCACATCGTGGCCATTCATTGACCTCGTGAAACATTGCAGATATAATGGCCTTTTAAATACACAGTAGTCTCCCACAGTAGGCCCAGAGCTTCCAACGTACAACATGGGGAGTCACGCAGGAAACGAACAATTTAGGATATCTAAAAGGGCATCTCAAACTATTGAAATTGCATCCCCATTTCTGGTACACATCCAAGCTGTTCTAGGGAATCCGTTTGACCCATTAACGAATCCAGAGGTAAGTGAAATTATAAATGTATCTTTTTATTTTATGGAAAATGGGTTCCTACTTTTTAAAAATAAAAAAAAAAAGTAACTTATGAACTCGGCCCTGCGCAGAATCTCACGGCACACTCACACAGAGATCCTGCCCAGACGGTAGCGGCACACTACAAGTAAAAATACAAAAATATTGTAAACTTTGGGGCTTAAACTGTTTGGCTGAAAATACTAGTTTAAATAGACGTTTCATATTTAATAGAAAATCTGATTGAGCATTTCGATGATCACTAACTAATTGGCACTAGACCTACATGTATCATTGTCCGAACCATTCTATTAATTTCTATCATGTTTGATTTCAGATACGTTATTTCAGCGTACCATCATTCCTCAATTCAAAACATTCCTTTTGAACTTGAAGAGAATTTATTTTATTTTTGTTTGTTAACCATCAGTGGTTTTAATTAAATTAATCAGTAGTGGCTTGTCATGTCATTAAACCCAATAAGTTCAGAAGAAATCATCTGTTACTAAAAAAAAATAAATAATTGTAATTTAAATTAAATGCCTGTGTGACATAGTCTCACTTTTTATGGTAATTTGGTGATCTCGTTTTTGAAACTTCTTAAGATTTTGACTGTATTAACTCTTGTTAGTACAATTTTTAAAAATTTTCAATTTTATTTTAAATAGCGAATAAGTTTTGAGGGGAGAATTTACTCACCAAATTAATATAATAAATTAAATGTGCTCGTATTTTGTATTATTTGACTGACAGATAAATCTTAGTAATAAGCTAATAACTGATGCATTTT